GGGGCTGAAATCCACCTGAAAGGACATCAGATAGTGCAGCATTTTCTGTCCCACTGTGACTCAAAGCTGACAGAAAAACAGGGATGAGCAGATGAGTGGATTATATCATGTAAAAGAATCCCTTTATGTTTCTGCATTTAGGGCTTTAAAAGCTGTTTTTTGGTGGATTTTAACCTGTTTTGGGGCTTTTAAAGCTGCTTTTGGGGCTTTCAGACAGTTTTTTGGGGCTTTAATGATGTTTTGTGGATTTTAAAGCCATTTTTTGGGGCTTTAAAGCTGTTTTTTGTGGCTTTTAAAGCTGTTTTTTGGGGAATTTCAAAGCTGTTATTTCAGTCTTTAAAGGTTTTTTTTCAGTTTTTAAAGGGTTTTTTTGTGGCTTTAAAACAGTTTTTTGGGTCTTTTAAAGCTGTTTATTGGGGCTTTTAAGGCTGTTTATTGGGGCTTTATAGCTGTTTAGGGGCTTTAATACTGTTTTTGGGGGCTTTCAAATTGTTTTTCGGGCTTTTAAAGCTGGTTTTGGGGGTTTTAAAGGTGTTTTTGTGGCTTTAAAGCATTTTTGTGGCTTTAAAGCAGTTTTTTTGGGCTTTAAACCTTTTTTTGTGGCTTTTAAAGCCATTTTTGGGGGTTTAAAGCTGTTTTTGGGGCTTTAAGCCCCCCTGTTTCCTGCTGCCTCTGACGGGTCAGAGACGGGGATCCAGACCGGATGTGAAGGATTGTGGTTTGGCTGGAAAGTATAGAAAGTAAGAGACAAACAGGACGATTTTATTGGTTCATTTTTTTAATTAAAATATATAGAAACATGACCACTAGTGTAAAAGTACAACGTGAAACGATGCGCACGTGTCCCTGCAGCTTTCTGGAGCAGCACTTCACCTCAAACACGTCCCATTCCCCACAAAAGCCGTCTTTTTCTGCCTCTTTTCAGCCGTCGAAGCCTCACAACATTTAGCCCCTTAAAAAGCGTCCCGGAGACCACAAACCTGCTGGTCTGTTCAAATCTGAGCGGAGAAAGAAAGAAAAACTAAACGAAAAGCTCATTTCCAAACTCGCCTGAAGAGGAAAAACTCAACGTGAGAGGCTCCGGATGAAGAACGGGGGGGAAAACCTCTGAAACACACACGTTAGGGGGGAGTTTAGCTAAAGAATTTAGCTCAGAAACCTGCGCTTTCTTTTGTTTTTAAGCCACTAACATGGCTGGAAATGGAGGCTGTTCTGGTTCTGGTTTCTGTTTGTAAAGAAAAAACTGGAAAAATAGATTCATTTAGCTTTGAAACCTGCCCTTTTTTTGAACGAGCCACTGGCTGGAAATGGGGGCTGTTCTGGTTCTGGTTCTGGGGGGGAACCTGCTTCGTCCTGAACAGCTGATTGGTTGGTGGTTTGTTAAAATCTGAGCGGAGAAAGAAAGAAAAACTAAACGAAAAGCTCATTTCCAAACTCCTGCTTCATCCTCTGGGCCCTGAACAGAAAAAAACAGGGAAAAAAAGCTTAATTTAGCTTAGAAACCTGCCCTTTTTCCCCCGTTTTTAAGCCGCTAGCGTCGGGGGCTGTTCTGGTTCTGGTTTCTGGGGGGACCTGCTCGTCCTCTGGTGGGGGGGTCAGTGGAGCCCTGCAGTGTCTGTGGGCCTCCAGCAGGGGGCCCCAGGGCCTCAGGAGGCGTCGCCCTCGGGCTGGCCCTCCTGGAAGGGGTAGCTGAGGGCGGGGGGGAAGCCCTGGGTGGCGCGCGGCTGCTCGTCCAGCAGCACCAGGTCGTCCACGTCGCGGCCCCTGAAGCGGCGCCGGCACACCTTGACCGCCACCTTGCGGCCCTGGAAAACCTTCAGCGCCTCCTTGGACGCCATGGCGCGTGCGGCCGCCTCGTCCCGCCCGTAGCCGGTGCCCAGGTACACCGTCTGGCAGCGCAGCTCGCACACGTGGCCGTCCTGCGTGCGGCCGGCCGGCAGCCCCTCGATGTCCCGCAGAGGCACGAAGGTGCAGGCCAGCGCCGTCTTGCAGGATTCCGCGCAGCTGCGCAGGACCTCGAAGTGGTCCAGGTTGGGCCCCGGCCCGCCCGCAGACACCAGCTTCCAGGCCACCGCCTTGTAGAGCCGGTTGAAGAGGGGCTGCCGCTCCGCCGGGGCCTGCGGGGGGGGCGCCCACTTCTGGGCCTCGGGGGGGGCCGCACCGGCTACGCTTCACCCCCCCCTCGCCCTCGCCGTCTGAGAAAAAAGGGGATCAGATCAGACTTTTAATCAGGTCTAAGTTAACACCTGGAAGAGCTTTTTATTTACATTAGGCTGGGCCTGATCCCACATTAGCATTAGCATTAGCATTAGCATCTGTAACCACAGGTCTGTGTCCCAACCATTAAGTTGTTATCAGAGCATTAGCATTAGCATTAGCATCTGTAACCCACAGGTGTGTGTCCTAACCATTAAGTTGTTATCAGAGTAAATCCCTGTTCAACATGAGTCTGACAACTAAGTAAGTAGATAAATAACTTTACACTTTAACACATGCTCTGATAGGCCGGGAGTTTTACCCTAAAATGTGCTAAATTTGCAGTTTACCATAAAATATGCAAAATTGACATTTTTCCCATAAAATGTGCAAAATCAGTTTTTTTTTACTACAGTGTGCAATATTTACAGTTTTTACACTAAAATGTGCTACATTTACTTTTTTTATAAATTTAGAGTTTTTACCCTAAAATGTGCTAAATTTACAGATTATTTACTATAAAATCCGCAAAAAAATTTTTTTTTTCCCCCCCGGAAAATGTGAGTAAATCCCTGTTCAACATGAGTCTGACAACTAAGTAAGTAGATAAATAACTTTAAACTTTAAGACATGCTCTGATAGGCCGGGATCGGATCGGGACATCCCTAATAAAAATTTAATAAAACTTACTAAGCTAAAGTTTAAAGTTCAGATAGTAAAGTCAGAGTAAGTTAGGGTTGGTCCCCTAAACTTCCCACATGAGGGAGGAACATCATAGAAGTACAATAAACACAAAACCTAACTAAATAGAAGCTAAATCATATTTAACTTCACACAAATAACATATCCGTACCGGCGCTCCTCTTCCCACGGGACGCCGCTTCTTCTTTTGTGGTTTTGTGAACCGGAGGGTCTTTCACCACGATGCCCTCGCTCATCTCCTTGATCTTGTCCTGGACAGCCTGAGGGTAGCTGAGAGGAGAGGGCACAGGTCAACTCCAAACCGCATGCAAACCTTCAAATTTCATTATGAAACTGTCTCATTTAATTTCTGCCAAATGAGAGAAAGAACATGTTACATAGGACTCATAAACTGACAGATATCAGCCTCCATGACAGGGAAAAGTCCAGAAAAGATGCTTTTTTTGTTGACATTTATTTGAAAATTACAGGAATTCTGTGAAATACCAGCTTAAAACTGAGCAGAGGAACCAGGATCTGGATCAGAAAGGTCAGTTTCTGACCGGAGAGATGTTCCAAATGAGATATTTCTGATGGAAGCAATCTCCAGAAAAGTAGTTTTATTCACTTTTTGGGAAAATGTGCTGCCAGATTTTGTGGAAGTGTGTTAATAATCTCTCTTTTTGTCAGAGTATCTGGTCCTTTTTTTGCTTTCTCTCCAACCAGATCCCAAATAATTAATATCTAATCTCAAATTAGTTGGGTACATTGTTTTTTCTTATTTTATTTTTTTTTCTTCCATCATTTTAAGGATCAGAGCTTCATTAAAAACTTCCAGACTTTGACAGATCTGTTGTCAGTTAGTGGAGCATGAACTTTTTTAGAGTCATTCCTCCATTTCAGGACTTTATTCATCAGCCTGACTTCCACCTGCTTCCCTCAGAGACAGACAGTGGGATCAGTTCTGCTGTCAGATGTAGCTCTACAGCAGGTTTCAGCCGGTCTGAGGGCTTTAAAGGAGCAGAACGGGGTTTTCAGAGCAGACAAAAGCTGCTTTAGCCTGTCATGTGGTGGGTGGGGAGGCTGGGCCCCTCTGACTGACCCCCCCCCCCGGTCCTACCTGCATCCCAGGAAAACGTGGTTGGCCCAGACCATGGACAGAGACAGCAGCCTGTCCAGGCTCCCGCCGGTCTGGCCCGGCTCCACCGTGGGGAAAGCCTCCAGGTTCCTCAGGATGAACTCCCTCCGGGCCAGCCACTGCTTGTTGCTCTCACAGTAGCCGCGGAAGGTGTCCACCCACCCGGCCAGCTGCGGGTTCTGGCCCAGGTACTCCGACACCACGTCCTCTCCGCTCCCCTCTCCCGCCATCCCTGCGCTGACAGGAGCAAACACACACAGTAAACCCACAGAAACTTGCTCTTTAATGGGAGCAACAGCCGAGCTACTGAGGCTAACTTGAACCGGGGACGGAGGACCGGGTCCTTAACGCCCTGGGCCGCGATAGTTTCACACGCCTGGCCGGAATATGACGTTAGTTAAGCCATAAACGTCGTGTTTTCCGGATTGACGCTTAGAAAGTGACAATTACCTGACTTCCAGTTGAGTCCAACGGTAAGTCAGGTAACACTAGCTACGTCAGAAGAAAGGTTAAGGACCACAACAGGTTGTCGGGCTTAACACCACCGACCATTACGCTGTCAAACGGTTTCACAAATTTTAAAGAGCCATTAAATTAATATGAAACTACGACATACCGACCGAGATCTCTCTGTTCCGATGTGTCGCTAGCTAGCATACATGACCGGGTGATGACGCAAATGTGGCGTCGACGGAACTACATTTCCCAGAACATTAACTCAACCAACTAACTGTTAGCTAGTTGGTTACTCTCTCCAAAATTCAAACAATAGTTTAAAAAGATTGTTTTGGTGTTAAAAATCTAATAAAAACACAAATCCTTACTTTATTTAAAAAAAAAAAAGTTTTTAAACGACGCGCGCAAATGGCCGCGACGCTTGACGTCATCAGCCCGCGACTGCCAAAACGCTGGCGGTTTGTTTGGGACCATGAATGAATATCTTTACGTTTTTCCTCGTATGTGTTTGTTATTCAAGTGAGCTAAAATGATCCACGAGCTCTTGCTGGCTTTGAGTGGCTATCCGGGGACAATCTTTACGTGGAATAAACGAACGGGTTTGCAGGTAAATCTGAAACAAACATGTTAGCTAACGTTATTCACTATTGTAATGCTTTCTTTTTCAAAAAGGTTCGAAAGTTTTGGGCTTGGCATTATTAAACTAAGATTTTGCCAAGACATATTTTATCTATATATACATCATATTAGTGTCGCCATCTATCCTCTGTCAAAATATACACCGGGATCCCTAATTATCCTAAAACTGATGGCAACATCAGCCCCTTTTTAGTAGCTGACAGAAGGTTTCCATCCACAGGTGTCCCAGGACCTGCCGTTCCTGCATCCCAGTGAGACCAGTGTCCTGAACCGACTCTGCAAACTGGGCTCAGATTACATCCGCTTCACAGAGTTCATAGAGCAACACACCGGCCATGTCCATCAGCAGGTGACTTATGAGGCCAATAACTCCAAGTCCTCAGAGATTCCCATCAGCTCATCTCAAACTTAGCCGTTGCTATTTATTCTCCTTCTAATAGATTAACCTGTCTTATAAAGAGAAGCAGTTTTAGTTTCAAACTGGTGCTTTCTCTCGAACGTTTAGGAACATCACACAAGCCAGCCCAGCCAGACGGGACTCCATGGGATCTACTTGCGGGCGTTTTGCACGGGGCTGGACTCCATGTTGCAGCCGTACAGACAGGCCCTGCTGGACCTGGAGCGGGAGGTACCATGACCACGCACACGCCTGAAAATGACTCGCACAGCCTGTGAAACGGCACTCATTTACCTCGCTGTGTGTTTCAGTTCCTCGGAGATCCACATCTGACCATATCGCATGTGAATTACAAGCTTGATCAGGTACTTAAGGATGTAAAATCTAGAAAAAGAAATTATGGGGAAAATATACATTTTGCCCGGCAGTTTGTTTAATGCTTTGCTTCATTTTTTTTGTGGTTTCAGTTTCAGCTGCTGTTCCCCTCCGTCATGGTGGTGGTGGAAACGATCAAGTCCCAGAAGGTACAGAGCATCTGACAGCCTTTTAGTGATCTGTTATCAGATATTTCAGTTCAAATCATCTCTTTTATGGGGAGAAAATCAGTTGGGGATAAAAAAGTTATTCGTTGTTTGTGTGTTTCAGCTGATTTTGTCAAACAGTTCCTGCAAAAAATGAGAGAATTTCAACTTAAAAATGAACAGAATGACATATTTTATGTTTATGTTGTTTATGTTTATGCATTAAGACGCTTTTATCCAAAGCGACTTACAAAGTAGACACAATTTTACAGTTATCATCAATATGACAATGAGTTCTCTAGAGGAAAATCTCCAGTCAGAATCAGAGAGAAAGAAACACAGAAAGAGGGGTAGAGGGTCCAGAGGTAAGAATCAGGATAAGAGATGCTCTTTGAAGAGGGGTGTCTTTAAGTCTTTTAAAGGTCTTTTAAAGATAAAAAAAAGTATTGATTTGAGTAGTGATCAGCGTATGCAGTCTTATTGTTGCTATCAGGGTGTAAGCTGTGCTTCTGCCTGGCTTCAGATCCACGGCTGCCAGATCCTGGAGACGGTGTACAAGCACAGCTGTGGGGGGCTGCCTCCGGTGCGCATGGCTTTGGAAAAGTGAGTCTGGGGGGGGTTACAGCGGGCGGTTTTTGGGGTTGGTGCTGATCCCGGGAGATGTCTGTGTTAGACATGTCCCGATCCAGCTTTTTGCACTTCCGATCCGATCCTATCCTGGCCTATCAGAGCGTGTGTTAAAGGTAAAAAAAAAACAACATAGATTTTGCACATTTTAAGGGAAAAAATGTCAATTTTGCATATTTTATGGTAAAAAAAACCTGTAAATTTAGCACATTTTAGAGTAAAACTCCCGGCCTATCAGAGCATGTGTTTGTGTTAAAGTCTAAAGTTATTTATCTACTTACTTAGTTGTCAGACTCATGTTGAACAGGGATTTACTCACATTTTCCGGGCAAAAAATTCAATTTAGCACATTTTAAGGTAAAAACTCTAAATTTAGTATGTTTTATGGTTAAAAAAAAATAAATTTTGCACATTCTGGGGTAAAACTCCTGGCCTATCAGAGCCTGTATTAAAGTTTAAAGTTCTTTATCTACTTCCTTAGTTGTCAGACTCATGTTGAACAGGGATTTACTCTGATAACAACTTAATGGTTAGGACACAGACCTGTGGGTTACAGATGCTAATGCTAACTAAACTGAATCTGGAGTCTGGATCTGCGTTTTCTCCTGCCGGCCGATACCCATCTGTGTGTGTGTGTGTGTGTGTGTGTGTGTGCGTGTCAGGATCCTGGCCGTGTGCCACGGCGTCATGTACAAGCAGCTGGCGGCCTGGATGCTGCACGGCCTGCTGCTGGACCAGAGCGAGGAGTTCTTCGTGAAGCAGGGCCCCAGCGCAGGGGGGGCCGCCGCCAACCAGGAGGAGGAGGAGGAGGACCTGGGCCTGGGGGGCCTGAGCGGGAAGCAGCTCAGAGAGCTGCAGGACCTGGTGAGTAGAGAGTCTCCCTCAGTTTCTGACCGGAGAGAGGTTCCATATAAGATATTTCTGATGGAAGCAATCTCCAGAAAAGTAGTTTTATTCCTTTTTTTGGGAAAATGTGCAGCCAGATTTTGTGGAAGTGTTATTAATCTCTCTTTTTGTCTGAGTATCTGGTCCTCTTTTGGCTTTCTCTCCCAAATAATTTGTATATATTCAAAAATGACTTGGGTACATTTTTTTTTCTTATTTAAATTTTTTTCTTCCCCTTTTTAAATGTTGTAATATCCCTCTCCTGTCGGTTTTATCTTCTGAATCTCCCATACTGCTCTTAGTTGGTTATTACCATGAAGTATTAGGGCCACATTTAAAAGGGGAAAAAAAATTGTGAATTAATTACGAGATAAGTCATTATTTAATATGGCGAGAATAAATTACGAGATTAAAGTCATGAATATTCTATCTTGCTATAGAGGAGGAGAGTTCTTTATGTGGAGGGAAATGGCTGGAAATGGCTCAGAGGGGTTTTATTCTCACATTCGAAATGCCGACTCTCTCCCTCTTTTCAAAGCAAAACTTAAAATCCACCAGTTTAAAATTTCTTACCCACCTCACCATTATTTATGATGTATTTACGACTTTGTTTTAATGATGATTGTCTTTGTAAAGTGTCCTTGACTGGCATGAGCGGCGCTTTTTAAAAATAAAATGTATTATTATTATTTATTTAAAAGTATATATATATTTTAAAGTGGCCCTAATGCTCCGTCGTAGGTTACAAACGTTCGTATATATTTTTTCAAATGTTTTTTTTCTAAACACAGCATTTGACTAGTGTTTATTTATTTATTTATTTGTATTTATAATTATCATTATTATTATTATTTTATTTTTTAGAGTGTATTAGTTCACAAGAGTGTTTTATTATTTTTGTTATTTACTTATTTATTTTTATTTATTTATTAATTTATTATTGTTATCATTTTTTTAGTGTATTAATTCACTAGTGTTTTTTATTTACTTATTTGTTTTTATTTATCTTTATCTATTATTATTTTTCTTTAGAGTATATTAATTCACTAGTGTTTTTTATTTTTTAATTACTTATTTATTTATATTTATTATTATTATTATTATTATTATTATTATTTTTTTTTTTTAGAGTGTATTAATTCACTAGAGTGTTTTTAATCTCTTAATTTTAATTGGTTGTAACACTGTTTTGACTGACAAATCAAAGCAGCCTCTCCTACACGGTCCAAAATAAAGACTGTTAAAATATAGAGCCCTTCATGGCTGTCCCCCCGTTAGAGGCTGGTGGAGGAGGAGAACATGCTGGCCCCCTCCCTGCAGCAGTTCTCTCTCAGAGCAGAGATGCTCCCCTCCTACATCCCCGTCCGCGTGGCTGAGAAGATCCTGTTCGTGGGGGAGTCTGTGCAGATGTTCGAGAACCACAACCACAGCCCGTCCAGAGCCGGTAGGTAGCCCAGTCCCCCCTGCCCCCGGAGGCGGAGGATAACCGGTGACCTTTGACCCCCCGGGGCTCCAACAGGCTCCATCCTGAAGCACCAGGAGGACGCGTTCGCCGCCGAGCTGCACCGGCTCAAACAGCAGCCGCTCTTCAGCCTGGTGGACTTCGAGAACCTCATAGACCGCATCAGGAGCACTGTGGCCGAGGTCAGTCCACGGGGTCCCACCGGGTTAGGTTAGGGTCAGGGTTAGGGAAAGGGTTAGGGTTAGTTTGTGTTTTCCACTTTTTTTCCATCTTAACTCCATATCAGGGTTTGTTTTATTTAAAAAAGATAAATTCAGTGAGTATTTAGCGCCATTTTTTTTCTTTTTGGTCATTTAGAAAAGTGCTCTGGCACAAATCCCTGTTACAGTTTATGATGGCCGATTTGTAACGGCTACCTCTAAAAAGTCCCTCAGAATTAAAAACAAACAAACAGTTAAATGTCCTCTAAAGCATCTTTTAAATAAACAGGACCAACCTCTGATAGCCCTGCAGGTTTTTCTGAGGGGTGGCGTCCCACAGGGCGCCCCCCCAGGCCCCCTTTTAGTTTTTTTTTCCCATTGAAACCCAGATTGCAGCCATCTTAACTCCCTCTCTCATGTTTTTATTTTAAATCAAATGATTTTTTGCTCTCGTTTTCTTTTCTTTTTGGTCTTTTAAATCTTTTGGTTTGGATTCTGTCACATAGTTTAGATTTTTTCTGGTCCATCCTGCTGATTCCCGTCTGTGTTCTCTCCTGGCTCAGATGATCATGTGACCCTTTATTTTATTTTTCCCTCCAAAAAACCACCCCGGTTCCTTATTCTGGCCTTTTTTCCCTGTGGGCTTTGGCTCTGACTGACTGGGTCTGAACTCTGGTTCCAGCACCTGTGGACGCTGATGGTGGAGGAGGCCGACCTGCTGGAGCAGCTGAAGGTTGGCCCCGCCCCCTGTCTCAGGCCCCGCCCCCTGGCCTTATGCCCCGCCCACTCAGGTGACGCTGGTTGTGTTTCTCTTCCAGATCATTAAGGACTTCTACCTGCTGGG